TCGTCTACTGAGCAATTGATATTGCGCTGTACTTCGACTGTAATTTTCATCTATATCCACAGACCTATGTATTGTATGGGCGTTACGGCAAGGTGCCGGCAAAGAGCACAACCTTCCTGCAACGTGGTGTGAGCGTGGACAGTAGTGCAGAATCTGCTGGGTTACTCTTTCGATCAATACGGCGCAATATGAGCAGTTTAATGAATGATCAAGTTCTGTTTCCATTATGAAAGTGCGACCTGTCGAGCAGCTTAGTCGGCTTGAAGAGAACGATGGGAGCTGGATGCGTTCAGTCTTGGTACCTACTATAAATAAAGCGGCTCGTCTGCTTGTTCTGTTGTTTGTGCTGACGGAAAATCGGAATACACTGAACAGGTTCGAGGGTTGGTTAATGGTTGGTTGGACAGACAAGATTTAAGTAACACACATAGAACTGAGCCAACACACCACACACTAGTCGATGCTGCGGACAAAGCGGTGCAACTTCAACAGAGGTTCCATTATCCGGGTTCTGTTGGCAAAAGGATCGTAAATTCGCTGCGCCAGATGGGCGTCCGCAATCAGATGCTAGTTCGAAACGTTCAGGCGACTGATAAACTTAACTAACATGCTTGTTCGGACAATAAAAACATCTACCTAACAACTAACCAGGAAATAAAAAATACATGGACGAAAGCAAACGTAGCAATATTTGATATTGGCAGAGTGTCCACAGAGTGTTTTTGCCACTGCTCGACGACACGGAGGAGAAGAAAAAAACTCACCCGGGCTGTTATTGCGGGTGCGCTTTGAGTAGCCCGGAGCGAAGGGCGAATGTCCTGCCACCTTCGGCCCTGTGCTCTGATTAGATAGGCTTTATATTGTGGAAGGAAAAGGAAAAAGAATATTCAACACGATAATGGACATGCGCTATAGGTGCGTTAGTGGTAAGGAGTGCGGTATAATTTGGTACGATCACAACTTATATTTAAGAGGTAGCCGTGACATCTCAGGCAGCGCAGAAAACTTTAATAAAGGTGCCGAAAACTTGGTGACTAGCGGCGAAGTGACATCATTAACGAGCGAAGGGTCTGGATGGTCATTTGTTTATCCACATTGATTTTTATCAAAGTGCATGTTAATAATGAGGAACAAAGAGTTAATGAATATATGTACCCTCATAGGAAAACCACTATGCAGCGGCATGGCTAGACTTCGCGAAGTGAGCGTACCGCTAGGGGTCATCAATCCTACTTCGTGCTTTAGATTTATCGATAGCAAACTGCTTCAAGGGCTCAATCTTCTCTTAATATTTCAGAACGGTACGACCACGTCAACTATTGCTCTCAAGACACTACTTGAAGAAAACTCTTGCTGAAAGCTGGGCTACGGGATTCACAGATGCCGAGTGCACGAGCACCTTATTCGCTGTTTCGGAGCAGCCAGATTCTTTACTGACATTGTTGTCAACCTCACGCATGAGCTTCAGCGCCATGGCGGCGCGAAGTGGCCTCGGCAGCAAAAATAAGGGTTAGATTCGTGATTAGGCGCCATCAGCTACCATGTACAAAAAGGGATTTCAAGAAAGAAAGACATTTTTTTGTGTTATAGTGGATTGGCCACTGGGTCGGCAAGTGGCACCCACTCACATTCGTGTTTAGGTCACGGCATGAATCAACTTTTGCAAATTTCTCTTTCTAAGATTCATCTATGCTCAAGAAAAACCATGTTGGTTTCAGGCAAGTGTGTACAGTCATTCTGGGGCTTTTCTCGAGCTCCCTCGTATAAGTCCATCAGGACGAAAAGGTTTGCTCCAGCCGTAACATTGAAACGGAACCTTTTTTAATTTTATTCTCGCATATATAGACGGGCAATAGTCCTAGAAATTCAATAAATAGGAAGGTCCACGTTCGAAGCTTGAGGATACAACGACACCTGGGATACTGATAGCACAGGTCAGACAGATCTACCGTCAAACTCGAAAAATTTAACGTGAAGCTCTGTATTTGGGGTCGCCAATAGTTCTGATCACGGTGCAACATGGTATACGGATTACGCTCAATGCGTGGTGTAGGACTATTGGCTGCAGATTCATTTTTCGCCAAGCTCTTCTTTCATATTGGCAGAGTCGCTGCGGTGTGACCTCACTTAATTGCTTGCTCGCTGCCTCCTGACCTCTCATCGATTACACTGTTCACTCAGTTAAACATGTTATAACACTGCTCGAAGAATATATACCATTTTCACTTTAAATTCACCCCTTTTCAAACCAAATTCACCCGTTTTCAAACCAAATTCACCCTTTTTCAAACCAAATTCACCCACCTTCCAAATCGAATTCACCACCTTCCAAATCGAATTCCAACATTTTATCTAGGTGCGGCAAGTCAATACTACAAATCACGCCGGACACTACGCGGGGGCCGCCCCTCGGGCCACGACACTTGCTTTATTGTGGAATGGTGTGTATTTTCAAAATTTTGCATTTTTTTGGACAGCTGCGTGAAGCCCGGCACTTTTCGAATGAGTGCCTAAGTCACAATGCATTTAAAACTTGTATATAGCGTTGGTTAAGTTTAACTTTATACGAGTATTGAACTTTCTTGCGCTGGCGTTAAGAGAGAGGACATACGATTACCGCCGTGGCGCTCAGCCTTAGCAGAGCGCAGGTAATCGATTAAGTGTACATCCAATTAGAGCCAACGACCAACAAAGGATATGTCATATTCGTGATCAGGAGCTGAATCTTTACCCCGCTATACAGTTTTTTAGCGATTTTTGAGTGATCTTGCGCTTTTAAAATAAGCTCGAAGGACGAAATTTCTGGAGTCGAAACGCATTTGGCAGAAGGCAGGGTGATCAAGCGATTAAGTGAATGAGTCATACGCAGGCGACTCTGCCACTATGAGAAGAAGAGGTGCAAAAAAGATTGGACTGCACCACAATACGTCACATAGCCGGTGTAGGATGATGCCGAATAATCCTAAGACTTAAACTGCATTTATCTACCACGTGCAGCTAATGGTATTTTTCCACCTAATTTTATGTTGCTCTTCAATGCATAATGGTGTACAAAATTCATCGGTTGGATGGATACTCACATTACAATTTAGAAAAGGATCAAGATTGCTGTAACTAGTTCTCTCTGATTTAGCAAAACGTTTCAATCATTTTTAGAAGAATTCCAGGAATGCGTAGCAATTAAACAGATTCCTGTGGATTTTATATTGTACCTCAACATGACCAACACCATTTCTAAAATATGCGGTACGACTGAATTGACATTAGTTGTGGCACTCTCTTCCTTACGAGGTCACTTCGCAAGTCAGCACACAGTTTCGCACACGTCATTAAAGCTGTCTCGCTGAAAAAGGCGGAACACTCTCTATAATTAGGTGCGATCGTACTAATTATGGTTATCCTAGTTACCTTACGTGGTCGTGGGAGATTAATACAGAAAAATCGTTGAGGCGAAATTACTTTCGTAAATGGACGGAAACAGAAGTGTCGAAATGTCGCCTTCGATTACGCTATAGCGTCATAAGGTGACATCCAACTGTTGGCAATTTGCCAAACCTCACCTTAAACGTTCGCGTAAGAGCTTTGAGCTTTGCGCCGTTTCCACAATCGAAGGGAACTATTTCACCACTTTTTGCCATTTGCTGAAGTAATTCGCAATATAATCGACTTTTTTGTATCCTCTCACCACTACCACTAACTCACCTGTAAGCATCCACTATCTGTTCAATCATCTTTCTCTCTCTATTTTCCTCTTTTTCCTTCCACATAAAGCGGCTGCTGATTGGAGCACAGTGGCGGAGGGCGGGCCATCGCCTTTCACTTCGATCTGCCGCCGCGAAAAAAAAATCGCGCCGCAACGCGCATAGGTGAGCGCGAAAAAAAATCGCGCCGCAACGCGCATAGGTGAGTTTTTCCACGTAGCCGCTCGCGACAGTGTGTGATGGCCAAATTGGCGTTTTTATCAAACGTGCGATGATCCTTTCAGCTTCCTTCTTAGCTGCTTAGTCAATTAGCACCTTGACATTCGCATACGAACCCATTAGTGAATGGCAATCGTGAGCTCTGTCTTCAAGGAACCTCAGATTACGTCTTTAAGGAACCTCAGATTACACCCCTCGTATGAAAAATAGTCAGTGTATAATCAATTGGAAAACGGTGTCTTTTGAAAGTATTTTATTGAACGCCTAAATGTGGCACGAACTTTTTTAATTACCTAATATTTACAGAACGATAACTGAACAGCATTAATTTTGAACAAGATTCTTCGTAAGTACCACAATAAGCACAAGCAAAGATGTAGATAAAGAAGGTGGTATTTTTCGGGTCACAAAAAGAATGGTCAGAATGAGAAAAGCCATCCACAGTATACTTTTTATACCATTTTTGTTTTCATGGCTACTCATGCATCATATTTTCTGCTGAAATTGTCACTCGAAAATATCCAATGGGTGCTGCACAAACATGCACCGGAGACAGAAATTGAAAAATAAATAGCCAAATTCAAAACTAGGGAGCGAACCGAAATGGGGGAGAGGACGGAGGGGGCGTATTTGAAAATTAATAACCTGTTTTTGAGATGAGGTATTTTAATAAAGTTCAGCTACGATAAAGGTATTTCAGTGAATGAGCTCGTGCGTCTACACCACGCCCTTGAAGTGCATTACTCCTTGTGCTCCAGTCGTCGTGGACTACCACGACATGTAGCGGCAACTATGAAAGCTCATGGCGGGTAAATTGGAAGTTCAGCTTAACACTAGGCAAAATAGATTAGAAATTGGTCGCTTTGCGACATCGGTGCCTAGCTTTTTGTTTCTGTTTAACTCGTAGTACAAATAAGCCACGCTTAACAAAACAACATGGACATACAAAATTGTTGAGACCATGGAAGTTGTGGAGATCGGTAGAAATCACAATCGACTCTGACATCCTGGTGTACATCTGGAATGACTTACTATTCTATTTTAGTCGATTACTTATGCCCTAAATTGAAGATAAATCTCTTACAAGCATCGGATGCCGTTCTTTTGTTCCTCGGCGTCTTTACCACGATAAGAGAATGTGAGTTCTTCACCTGCAAAAAAGTGACAGTGAGTGAAAAGTGAAAGTAATAAAGAAAAGACTACCAGGTCTGGCCAACTCAATAAAGGGGAAGTAGAAGGTAGGGCAAATTCTTCTTCTCCACCTACGTTACTACGATCTCCAAACACTCCCGAGAACCGAGTCACGGAATTTACGAGGTAGCACCCTCCCTAGAAAACCCTCTCGCACATCGCCCAGCCTATCTAGGGTGTGTCTTCCTCATTCACTCTGTCAATCCCTTGCCAAGCTGAAGTCTGTGACAACTCGCGCTTTCGGCGCAAGCTCTGTCCAGTATGGGCGGGACTCAGCGTAGGTCACGCGCACACATCTGCGTACATCTTGTCACATGCCTTATCCATCCCAACCCTGACCCGACTTCTCAAAGTTGCTTTTCAAGTAGAACAGTATTTCCGGCACTTGAAAAATAAACAGCATGCTTAGTAAACTATGGAGAGTCTCTTGCGCTATGGACTAGAAGGTTGCAGAAAAAAAAGAGAGACTAGGGAACACGAACACTCACCTTTCAGGATCATTCGCTTTGTAAAGAACAGCATATTATTAGTGAGCAGATTGCCGCGGGACAGAAGCGACACTGCTTTCAGGTTAGCTGCATCACCACAAGCGTGATTGAAATAGCTGAAAATGAAATCATGAACTGTTGAACGAAGAGAAATGTGTTTATTGATTTAATTTATTAAGTTGACGCGCAAAGCATATTCAACAGGAAATTAGGGAAGTCAAAAGAATTACCGCGTTTCGTTTCCCATCCGTGACGCATCGACAACATACTGCTTTGTACCCGGTATTTGATGCTAAAAAGAGATACGGTAACATACTGAACAAAGCCGACCCACCCTCAAGTTCGTATACACGAGAGTAACTTACAATATTTGTAAACTGGTAGCTAGTAGACACTCCTTGCGCGATTGCTGAGCACAGAGGGATAATCTTAAGCAAAATAAGCTATCATTCGAAAATTAAAGCATTCGAGAAAGTTGATAAATCGACATCAATACAGATATCACAATATCAAAATACATACATCGCTACTGATAGGACATCAACATTATCATAAGTATTCTGCCTTGGAATGTGAGCATCGGGCGAAAGGTGTTGTGTATACACACCGCGAGGAGAATAGCGTAGTTCTTATTTAGGATCGAGACGAAAGCCGAACAAAAGTGAACCATACTCGACAAACAGTCTTTTATACAGGAATGATCTGGTATCGCTCAGTACTACTATCACTTAGAGTAAACAACTACCATCATTCCTCAAACAGAAGGTCTTATCGTCCATCATACGAATGCGGCCGTGTATGGCAGTATCGTAAGACTTTACTCAGCATAGTACAATTCTTCTCTCTTACCTAGCAGGCTACTTAAGGAGAAGGTACAGAATGACGAAATTCACAATGAGTCAAAGAAGAGCTCCGCCGTTTTGTTTCGTCGTACTCCCGGTTTACCGCGGGAATATCGCCATCTTTAACATCGGCTTTTGTCTCGGCCGAGCGAAAGCTGGGAAGCGGCAAGTAATAGAAGCAACAACCAATCTCCACCAGTTGTTCAAGTGGGATAACAACAACTGATACGACTGATGAAGAACGGTATAGCGCTGCGCCAGACCTAGCCACCCTGACGCCTCAGAGTCTGCAGGGAGAAGGACTCTATCTTCAGGAAATACCAAACAAAACGGTACAAATAGCACACAATAATCACTGTATTACCATACCTCGCCAGTATACGTTCCAAGAAATGTCCCAGCTGGAATAATTTGTGGCGCAAAAACACTCCATCCCTTCGTCGTCGTATACATCACAACAAGTGGGACCTTCCTACCGCGCTAAAAACAAGAAGCTAAAAACAAGAAAAATCAAATAAACTGAGAGACAAACAGCGATCCATTGCCTAATGAATGTATATCATCCTATCTTGGTTCTCCTCACCTAGCCTAGGCCAGAGAAATACCAGAAAAGTACAGCTAAATGGTCCGAAAACTGCTATGCTTTGAAGGCGGATGTGATGTACTTTTAATACGTTCATACCTTGCGTCAACGTTTTGGAGCGCATGGCAGCGTTATAAGCGTATACCAACGTTTTTAGCGGGAAGCCGTGAATATTCTAAGGTTCGATTACTGTTTTTTTTCTCCAAATTTCATGCTCATTTACAAGATTGGAGAAAACCTTTTTTTATCTAGTCTTGTTTTAACGGCATAGTACGGTATGCTGGTGGCGCCGAATGTTCAGGGCGCTTGTGCAGTTCCCCTCTGAAAACTTGCACATACCATTTCGCAGCTTCACAAGAGTTCACAAATCTCACCAAAGCAAGACCTGTTAGTTATCACGAACTAGCAAAAAGAATTAGCCAAAGTGCAGAGTACCACCCCCCCCCCCCTTCCCAAGCGAAACAGCACCCATTTCTACATTTTTCTTTTCGATTTTTCGATGATTCTGATATAAAAAGTCATACCTCTGCATATCTGCTCGGGCAGTTCGAATCACACGAGCAAGTGGTTCCGCATTCAACTGAGATAGCTTCTGCAAGTTTTTCGACATCCACTTTGCCCGTGCTACGCATTCTTATCTGGTCTCGTCCCATAATCTAAATAAACAGTGTGAATTGTACATACTGCTTACTAAGCAGCAGTTTGGAAAAATTTCTTCCGAGCCGCGATAATTTTTTATTTTCTTGACTTGTATATGGACTGTCACCCCCCCCCCTGTCCCTGCTCGACACAAGTTTTTGGGTAAGAACTGGATTTTATTTTGTAAAAGTGGTAAGAAGTTAAGAAAACTCAGAATGATGGTAGGTAAGACAGGGAGACGTGCAGGAGCATCACAATGTTGCATCCTTCATTGTGTACACTCCAATATTCCTCGTTCTCTTTTGCTCTGTCTCTAATCATTTATCGGGCCCTCAAGGAAATTCGTATGCTTGTCAAGAATTTTCCTACTTTTCGTACATTTTGGACCATTACATTGTCGATCGGTGGCATCTTTTCAGTAAACGTTTTTGCTACTATTATCTGCAGTCTTTCAGCGTACATTAACGGTTACTGCTGTACAGTGCTGTCCCTTCCTTATTAGTCAATTCCCCTTATTCAGCAATTTTCATCGTAGTGTTCCCTTAGCCATTATGACGGCTGAAGTACCTACACTGGCGAACTACACTGAAAACAGTTATTACCTCAGCACAAGACGAAAATGTAGTACATTGTCCATATCTTGCAGTCACAGCCAGCCTGACCATCTCTGGATACCTGAAGACGATATGGCAAACACCAGCCGGCCTTGGCCTCGCGGTAAGTTAGAGATGGACATTGCAACATCTGGTCAACGTACTTGATAAATGCTGAACTTCGATGTAGGTATTTTCGGCCTGATAAACGGGAATAATCACAACTTTCAGTCCTATAGTAAGCACGTTCATCATTCATCCAGTTTTCTGAAGATAAATGGAGCTACCCAAGGCCCTTCCAGCTCGTCATTGATTGATTGCTCAATCATGCGAAGGTGCACACGGTGCCAGCTCTGCAACACAATACTAATCTCTGAGGCTGTGTTCATAATTTTCGCCAGCGGTTTGAGCGTTTTGGGCGAAAAGAAACCACGCGCTACATCGATAATTATACTCCCCTCTTCGCCCTAAACGTCGAAACGCCCGACGAAAAGTATGATAGCCTCAATGGGTTTTTACTGATTCAAAGAAGGATCATTGTGTTTTGTCCTACAGAATATTAAGACTGCTTGTTCAAAATCAATAAAATCGCCAATTAGAAGTATCACTCACCGTATAATCATGGCGTTTATCAAATTTAGGGAAAGCTTGTTCAAAACCTTGTGGATCCCTCTGCTGCATACGAGCGGCCATCTGTGAAACTAAGCGCTCCCTGGTGTCTGCTGCAGCCAACTGAAAAAATTAAGAAGATTATCTCCTGGATCTTCCTTATGTTACAGCTGTCAAAAACTAGTTGATGAAACTACCCTACGAACCTTTTGATTGCCACCAAAACAAACCTTTTTGTCACCATCATCGAAACAATCAGGAGCTAAACTCCAGCAGTCATTCCATGGCCAATCTTTCCAAATAACCACATACTCCTTTTCTTTAGATCCATCTTGCTTAAGTCACACATTTTCAGAATTTACAAAAAAAATGAGGGGAAAACTGGTAAGATTGCGTATTACGTATAAAACTTACGTATTTGACCATGTGTGGTCGTAGTATTGCAGCTATCTCCCACGATCTTTCCCTTGGATCCTTCTGATCGCCTTCTAAAGCAGAGATGAAATCACTAGCAATGCCAGCTACGGATTTTTCGCTGCCAGAACATCGTAAAAGGGGAAGGAACATATGGTGAGCCTGAGGATGGGTTTCCACGACGATGGCTCCAAAGTCAAGCAGCAGCTTATAATGTGCCATAAGTTGGAAAGTAAACTGAGACAGATCGAATCGACCGAGTTCAATCAGTTCGTGGACTGCTTAGTATAATATATGGGCGCAGTTGGTCTTGATGGGGCATTTGCACTTTCGCTAGGGACTTCTGCAACCGTCCTAAATTACACATCTCACTTGGTGCGACCTGCCAAGACTCTTGTCGAGCTCAAGCTACAGCAAAGCCTTCCAGGAGTTAACAGGCCCGAACAAATGCTATAGGCAGTGGTTGATGAACCAGCAAAATGCACCAGAATGGCTACCTAACCCTTTGTGAAATAGTAATTTTGGAAAGAGTTCGCTTCTCCAGCAGACGGAAATACAAGCATAGTTGGCAGATAGCCTGGGAAGGAAAGAATGCAGAAATCTTCGACCTAATTCGTTACTGTTCTTAATCTTACCCATCCCGAGTAACTGACACCGGACCAAATATTCAGCAAGAAGAAAAAGGTCGAATGATGATTCGAATAGTACCTTCAGAACTCTCTTCAGTGTCGTCTTCTTCTTCTGCAGCGGAACTGTCAGGGAGTGCTTTTGCTGGGAGCGGAGCCCAGAGTGGAGCATTCTTCAAGCCTGAACAATATTTGGTGAGGTGGACACAAATAACTTGGAAGACTTACTAAATGAGATCGCATGCGCAAGTGTAGCACTGTACGGTGTAACCCTATCAGCGACGGTCATATTTAGCCATTGGGGCAGGAGTGCTACTTATACTCGAAATCCCTGAGATCGGGTAGGCGTGGCCGCATGCTTCAACTTAACCTGAAGGTGTCTATGCTTCTGGGTGAGATTTTCATCTTGACACAATTGTTGTCGTGTCTCTGTCCAACACAGAACAAGATGACAGTTGTCCCAGACTGGGATATCCACGAGTAACCAGTTCCGTGCCATGTTCAAAGGCCACGCCTACTCTGCTCAGGGATAAAGAGTCTAACTTCGTAAGAAGCCTTCTGATCGCCGACTGAAATAGAGCTTAGGTAAGTTCCGAGGGGTCTTACCGGACGACGAAGCTTGGGAACTGGATCAGTACTGACTTCTCCATTTAACCCACACCGGCTGTTACCATTCATCAGTACAAAGTATAAAAACAGAAAAGACAAGTTTACTCACGATCAATCTGAGCGGGGGTAAATCCTAAAGCCGCGTACAGGTCCTGCAATAAGCATCAAATAAAAGTAGTAAAACGTATTATCGCAGCCCTAAGCTAGAATACCATATCAATTTCCTGAACTTCATCATCCATCTCCTCTTCAGCTCCTGTTGTCGAGCATTGCAACGAACTAATCTGATCGGCTGAAAGATTTGGGTTAATATCGTCGGTAGAAGGGACCAGCATTCCGCCAGTGCCTCAAAATGAATGTATGAGAAAACTATATAGAATCTGTTGACAAACTAGTCCTGGGATCACAAATATAGGAAGCATTGGGCTCTAAATCCGAACAAAGTATGAGAGACATTCATTGAAAGAAAAATCTTACTCAGAGAGAGCTCAGCCTTCTCAAGCTCACTGTCCATAATATTCTCTTTGTTCTCACACATGGCATCCTCGCTATCCAAGCTCTGAAAAATAGCAGAGTATCTTCTCGCTCGAGCCATTTTGGAATGAAAATGATGGCAATATCAGGCTTGGATAAGATTAAATAATGAGTAACAGTATTTTCAATCAGACAAATCAAACCAAAGGTGGAAGGATTCGATGGCTTAATTGGGAGCCGAAATGAGGCTTAACCATAGGAATCTAGTTGTGGATAGGAATCTAATTGTGGAGGGGATACGACCGATAGGAGCTCACCTCAATAGCCGGGACGTTCTGGTTGGATGCATTCCTATCGCGTTCTTTCTCCAGCGCATTTAGGATTCTTCTCTGAACGGGATCAATTCCGTCGGTATTGCAATCATCCGACTGCAGTGGTTCATTGGGTTCTAAAAATGGTCAGGTAAGCCGAATGCACACTACCTCGCCGTAACTACCAACTCGTAAAACGCTGCTTGCTGCGAATGCTGGGGCGTGTGGCGTGTCAGGGGGGAGCGCTTAGTTTGCCTCTCCTGCTCTCCTGACACGCCCCAGCATTCGCAGCTGACAAAGCTGTACATGCTTCTATCCGTAGAAGAGAACGCACCGTATGGTAGCGGCCTGATTTCGCCACTACTACTCACTACAATCCGACGATAGCGCACCAACGCATTAGTGATCCTTCGTGGAAGTTGAACGAAGTGAACGTCAGATCTAGAAAATTAATCAATATTTTAATCTCCTGCGAAACACATTTAGGAGCTCATGACCAGTTACTGTACCCGAGCACAAAAAAAGCGGGAAGGCCACGTCCATACTTCGTGAAAAATCCGCGATGTGGGGGTATTGGTGATTCGGGAAAATGTGCGAAAGAGGGGGTACCTTTCAATCGCGATGAGTGCTACAAACTACAGTCATGATCATTGCAAACGATGGGGCGAGTGGACTGGAGCGCAGCAACAGCGGCCTACTCCATCAATAATGCTGTCCTGAGTTCACAGCGACTGGCGCGAAAGGCTGCCCTCCAGTTCGCGCCCATTCCCTTGCAAAGAACATGACTGCAGGCGTTGCAAGCGGGGTGCAGCTCACAGTATTTGCACCAGGCATCATCCACTCAACATGGCAGCGGCGCTGCGCGTCAGCTCTATCTCCAAGTCAACTCTACTGCGATTCCACGACTGGAATTCTATGTTCCACACGAAAGGAAGCTACAGCCTGTTCGCTGCGAATTGTGGGGGTGTCAAGGGGATGGGGTTGGCGCGTTGCCAAGCCGTTTTTTTGCAAGCGACGTGACTGTGTCATCGTTCGTATCAATCGTCTCCTACCAGTTGTTATCGCTTACATGCTTCAACAACAAGTGAAGAACAGGCTGGCATCGCGCCAAACCCGGGCTCACTGACAAGCCCATTCATCCGCAGCAAGCAAGATTGTATTAGTATTTGTTTGAAGACTCCGTGGTACGAGAGAATCTGCGACGAAAGATAGATGGGAATCGATTGATACTGTTTCTCCCGAACCGCGAATTCCTCCAAATTGTGGATCCCCGAAAACGTAAGCGGACGGGCACGATCGATTCTCAGGTGATTCATTGTCATCAGTTTTGCTAAATTGCGGATTCTCCATAATCGCAAAGCGAAAACACGGTTAAAAGGACCTCACTGTTTAGCGATTACAAAGTGCAGGCAAAATAAATACTCACTGCAGTGGAACTTCGACTTCGTCGGCTTCCAAGTCTCCAGGTCGAAAGGCACTCTAAATATCGCCATTAATTATTATTGCCCGATTTGAAAAAGGAAATACAAAATATTTCCGGATTTAATGCTTAAATACGAAACGTACTGGAACAGCACCGCTGGGGCGTACAAATCTAGTCATGTCTGTAAACTCTGTTTGGAATGAGAGCGAGAAAAAATCCGCTTACACTCGACGATAATTCTCGTCCATTAGAGTCCACATGACAGGATGAAGGACTGCAAGCGGTTAAGTAGGGAAATCTAGAGAATACAGTAAAAATCAGCAAAAATAAAATATTGACTTCTGCCATACATCTGAAGCAATACTTCTTTCTGCCTATTATTACACCTCCAAGGATAACTACTTTGAACGGCATCGGAATTTTAAGATGAAGTTTACTGAACTGATACACCTTTGACCTACGAGAGAAGAAATAGAACCAATGAATACATTTTAGCGCTCTTCTATCCATTGCGTTCCGTGAATTGGAACCTTGCCAATTTTTTTACGCAGGGTCAAAAAGAGTAAGAGCTCTTTCCTGCTTTGGAGTTCTGCTGATATAAACAGTCCTATGGCCCTCTCTACTAATCCCCAACGGGAAATAACTGTACTAAGAAAAGCAGAAGACCACATACCTAAAAAGGGACCCAATATCTACGAGAAAATGGAATTCCTTGTAAAAAGGGGCCGCTGAAGACAATAAACGCGAGCATGAACGCGGAAATTCAGGCAGAATGGCAACATCATGAAATGAGAAAAAAGAGCGACTACTGCACATTTTCTTCTCTACCGCGCACACGGCTTGAGTCTCGCTTGTGCGTTATGATCAGTATGTAGCAGGGAGTAGTTTTATGTTGCGCCATTTCAGACTGAAAATGACAGCCTGTTATGCAAGATGTTAACAAAAAGAGAAACTAGAAAGAAATCATCGTTGAGGTGATATAAGCAGAGTGTTCAGTGCTAGAGAATCTCGTGAAAAATCGAATATTTACTATTGACTGCAAAGGGAGCGCCAAAAGAACGAGCCACGGATGTGTAACTGAGGTATCAGTGCTTCAGGTGCCAGCAGAAGTACTGGATCACCTACGATATTAGTTCTAAGAGAGCATGCTAGGGGGGGTTTACCATCCCGGAACAATTCGACTTCAGGCTGAAGAGGTGTAGTACAGGCAGCGTTAACGACGGGGGGGGGGCGTAAGTAAGGCCATTCAATGCACTGGTCGTTCTTAGTGAGCCCGTGACATGATGGCTAAACGGTTCCATACCTCGGCTGGATGGCGAAAGGATAGCAAGACAAACGGGCGAAGCGAACTCTGTTGTTTGAGTTTCCTTCAACACATCTGCTTTCCTTTCTTCTTATTGGTTTATCCATCGCGTGCCCTCTCCCCAGCTATCCTTGCGCGACATGGCTCATCAACCGTTGAGAGCTAAGACTCGCTAGCCTTTCACAGAGAAAATTCATCTTATTTTTTTAGAGCGAACCCATAGTACAATGACCCGCGCTTCAACTTCAATACGTTGGCGGATAGTTTACCTTCGATTTAGTGCCTTTTCCTTTTCTTAATCCATATAATAATCTAACATTCATAGCAGTTTGAAATGACCATATGGAATTAAAAATATGCATAAAAATGAAAAAAAAATAAAATAAAATCAAAATGAAAACTGAATGTTAAAGATAATAAAATAAAATGAAAAAACTGATGTTGAAATTGATCGAAATTTCGGAGGCGGCAGTCCTCGCGTGCGACCTCTGCCGGAATGCGGTTCATACCCCAGAATATAGGATTATATTGATCAGAGTCTATGTTGAAAAAAGCACATAATTTCCGGTACTGGTTTCTACTATTTAACCTCACTCCAAAACTGTCACAAAGCAGGCCAGTGCCCACGAATTTTTACTAATGGGGCTGGCATTTGGCGAAAATCCCGGTTAGTTCGAATTCCTAAACAGGCAACACACATACGCTTGCTCGAAGCTGTCTGGCGCCCCATCGCCAAAAATCGATCAAAATTGTATACGGAGGTTATTTTAAACATCTTACGAATACGACATCATTTCTGACAGCCCGGCGCTTAATGAGGACACTGCGATTGTCAGCGCTCTACTAAGGCAGAGTCCGACCTAAAGAGAATCACTCCTTCTCCCAGAATCAGCCTTACCGAAGGGCTAAATGGCGCTGGCGTCGAGAAATGAAATGCTATATTTGTCAACGGGGCATCAGACATTCCTATTATGCAAGTTTTTTATCTGGTTTTTTGGTGAGAAAACGGTGTGGCGTCAAATGCCGCGGAGCGTTAAAAAAAACACAATATCAAGTTTAGTTCGATAAAAAATTTTGTGGAGCCAATTGACAAAAAACGATTATGTACCTCGAGGGTATATTTGAATAACCATAAGTTTTAGTAAACACTGTTTAACTAAGTTTTTATAATAGTAAATTATCACAATAAACACCTTATTCCTCCTTTTCCCCTTACTGATGAGCACAGAATGAGGATATTACAAACTGCTTGGTTTCCGTCTAAGGGCACCGTAGCGCAACCGGAAACTTTAAGCTACGTTCTTTGAAGGTCACTTCCTGTGAATACTTCGATAAGAAAAAAGATGTAATAAGGATTGTGCAATCGAAATACTATACAAAAGCCTTTACTATTTAGTAATAAAGGGATAAAGGATAAAGTTTTCGCCGTTGATCAATCCCTTTTGGGATGCGGCACGCATTCTACTTCCATTCAGAATCGTAGTGGCTTATTGAATGCGATGTGGCCTATACAATGACTTGCGGTGGCCAGCCGATGTACAAGTCAGGTGGTGTTTTATACCCTCAGCTACGAATCTGGGTACCACTTCACTCGGTCCCGCGCGGCAGTAGAAGGCTTGGCATGGCCTGGGGGCGAGTTTGGAACCCGCGGATTCCGAACCTGGCGCGGGCGAGTGGTAAGCGCGTGCCACTTGTCACTAGCAGCCACCCCCGCCTTTATTTAGTATGATGATTGCCAGTAATAATTGGCAAAATTTAGCCAGCTTTTTTTTTTGCCTATTTCTCTGGAAAAAGTAGTAAGGTGGAATCGCCGAACTGGTTTTTGCTAGAAACTGAATTCCAGTGTTCATGTGATTTTTATAATGCTTATTACATAAAATAAAATTCTACTGATCTCTGGGAAGAGTGTCCAATTCATTATGAAAAGTTTTCGAGCTGCAAAAATACATTTACCTCGACGTCGCGTTGTCATCACACACGCTGCATCTTCTTCCGATGAGATAGACATCTCTGCCATGGTACACCCACAACTCTAAAATTCGAAGAAATAAATTTCTCTCTTTGAGAGGACTTTGCTTGAGTGAAAGGCGCTGGGGATAGCCACGTGAATCGTGTCTACGGACGCCCATCAAGAAATTGCAATGGAAACTGGAAGGAGCAGCAAAGAATCCAAGTCTTGCCCGGATCATTGTCGATCCTCACCGGATCTCATCAAACCGGGTTTCAAAGTCCACAAAGGCAATGAACCGAGAAAACTCGTTGAAACAGTTGAAAATGATGCAGTTAGAAATGCCGAAGAACGTCCAGTTGACGTGCGAATGTGTAAGCTTAACAAGGGGGCTGGTTATCGAGTACCCACCTTACTGACCCTTAGGAAAACGCGCATTGTCTAGGGGTACAGTCAGGTCACGTTTTATAATATCTTCAGGATAAATAGCGATATCCTCAGCGAAAAAGGGGTCGCATTTGATCGCCGGAGAGCGGAGTCATATTTGCCTTTGTGAAAAAGAGGGGATTTTCCCGTTTGCCGTTATACCCCCATGCCAGCTCAACGGCAGTTTTTTTGGGGGAGAACATACTGAAGGAGAATTCTGGGGGAAAGCTCTTGAAAGTTGGTAGATTGCAGGAAGTTTGGGAAGAATTTATGGCATGGTAAGTAGGATGGGGAAAGAGAAGCAGGGTGGTTACGCCCTATGATGGGGAATCTCGCGGGGAGGCGACCGTCTTTAATTTGCCATAAAGTGTGTGAAAACCTATTAGTTGACCTATCATTGCCCAAGAAGGATAGTTTTCCTGGTAGACTGAATCATTAGTTCAAAAGGCTGAAATTTTTAAGCTATGGAACATAGCCTAGTGAGACCTCTGTGAAACCAGGACCATTTGATCAGAAGCATACTTATTATTCGAGCACTAATGAAATATCAAACGGACTGGTTACCTCAAATAGCAGTTGGATACGCTGGAAAGAAGAGAGATTCAATCATCAAAGCAAAGAAAGTCGCAAAGGGAAGACAAATTAGGAGGATCTAAGTACGGAACAATTGAGAGAATCTCTTCGAAAAATTTGAACTTCCGGTAATGGCACCCGAATAAATTCCCAGCTCCTATATGACAACTGAACAGACCATCAGAAACAAAAGAAAAGCGTCAGCTTCATTTCAGCCATGCCGGAGCATTTGAATGTAAAATCTTACCGCGTTCTGTAGGTCGATTGTAGCAGGGAATTGGAACTGGAGCGCGCTATTTCACCATGCACTAGTACATTTTGTCCATGCCGACCAGCGTAAGCGGTCCTGTTGAGAAGTACGTACGGAACACGCATTATATCTATTCAGAAGTAAGTGCTTCTCCAGTTTGGCTCAGTCGATCCATCTCCCAGTTTGGGCTCTAAGTCGAAGTCCAAACTTCGTTAGCGCACCAGATCAGGTCCTAAAATATGTATAGGCGCTTCTTTCGGAGCGCACGCAGCAGACTACCCAAGGCGCAGGGACAGTGGAGCATCATTTTCCAGTCGCGGAGTCCCGTTAGTTCCGCAGTTGGAGTGTCGAGTAGATGTCGACGCGCAGCGCTGCTGCCATGGTCTACGAACAACTCTAAGTCAATTCCTTTAAACGCGTCTATTTTTTTTCTCTGATTTTCTCGTTCGCTGGCACTCTGGCCGTTGCTCTGAAAACTTTTTCGCTCAACATCCAGCTTTTCAGCCGACTGGTAACGTTAACTCACCCACCCGAAAGTCCCCCTCCCCCTCAACAAAAATCCTGCTTCTGGCCTCGCCATACGCTGTTTTTGCACGTTTCGGATGCTTTAGCTGCCCTCTATCCGTCCGCGTCGCAGGGTTTCGTTACATGACCATGCGCAAAAGTTCAAGATGTCACCTGAGCCTGCTGCCATGTTGAGCTGCTTGGGTCCTGGCATGGATTCTGCGCACGTCACCCCGCTTGCGACACCTATTTCGTCGTGACTGGGAAAAAACGTTCCTCCGCAGTGCCAAGTCGACGGACAATGCTTATTTATAGAAAATTTTCCATTAAGCTGGCTTGTGAAGGCCCTTGTAATACAGACTGAATTTCTTTTGGCGCAAGGAGGGGTGGTCTGTCTACAAAGTTTCGGATAAACTAAGTAATCGTTATCGAGTAAAGCTCTCGGCGTACGTTAGCCCATTTTGGGATGCGCCACACAATTCTTGCTTATACAGCGACCTTTACAGCTGTGGCCAAGTCAGATGCTCATATCTCGCGGACGAGAATATCGTTACTCCAGCTAAATTGCGTCCAGGAGGGGTGGAAAGATTTGGTAGGCTGGGCGGAAGCGCATTAGTGTGTATTGAGCAGGTTTACTGTCTCCGCTCTTCAGGCCAAGCAAGACCGGGATTTCATGTTCAGGAGATCAGCTTTATTAGTCTGGGCTGGCACTAAATTCCATCATAAAACCTTATGGAAAGTTTCTATGTTTGAAGCTGGTGCGTCAGCCATGGGCGAAGAACAGCGGGCACTACAGGGAAACAGCGTGACGAGTAAAGCCGTAAAAGGTAAATAGTGCCGAGATTTGAACCCGTGATCACGTGCGTGCGAAGCGGAGCCACTTGCCTCTACCACCTCCGCAACACCGCAGAATCTATTTTCAGTAACTTTTTGTCAATTACAATACCCCTGTTTTTTCTATCAAGTGAAACCCTGAGCTGAAGACGGGGCTACGGACAGATAATCTGTCAGGAATCCCTCATACCGTGGCGCCGAAGTACCTACCGTTTAAGTCTTTTTTTTCGTCAGCTACTCCTTACAAGACGCAGTTAGGCCACTCTAAAGTCGCTAACCCATTAAGATCCTAGTAGGATTAATTCAGCCTGAGCAGGACAGGAATTCATCGCAGTTCCCCGAGCAGCGCCGAGCTGCCAACCGTTAGCGCTTTTTCTGGAGGAAAGCGTACCTCATATAAGGCCCCTGTCACAGCTGCAACATAACCGAACCAGGACGATCAACCCGCCGCCGCGCAGTCACAGATTGCGGACGACAATACGGGATGAATGCTGTATTGCTTCATTTGCTGAAGTTGAGATTATGGAACGGGAAAGGATTGACTGGAAAGCCTGTCGCGGTTGTCTGGCATGTGAGAATATATGAGCCACTGAATACGTGCAAGCCCGAACAAACGAACATACCTAGCGGTTTATTCGGCATGATGCCCCACGGAAAACTGTCCGAAAATGCTATATCGAATCGATTTAATAACTGAAGGCTGTTCCTTCCCAGCGTTTTTTGACCGTTCAGTCTTCTTCGCTCATTTCCCACTATAAGGGCACCCTCCCGTTAGCATTTTAGACCGAGCAACCAAAAAATTATCGTGGCCATATTGCCCTTCAGTTGTCTTTATTCGTCACCATACCTACGCTGAGCTCCGAGTTGCTCAAATAGCGATGGTTCGTCTGAAGAATGGACAAAACGGACCATCGGTGTTTAAGAGTGGTTTTTGATACATTTGCTTTTTTCCTAATCGGCCAAAGGAGGTGACCAATAAGGGACTCAAGGTATTTATTTGCCCGTCCCCGCCCTCTCATTCTGAGTTATCTTTGACCGCCTAAGAAATCAGTTCAGCGTAATGGGCTACACATCCGCCCATTCTGTAGACGAATCTTGTCGAAGTTGCCTTTTTCCAATTTTGCCCTCCTATTTCTGGTGACACTAATTTGCGACCAACTTGCCCGCGACTTTTATTTCTTTCCCATGAAAATGAATGGATTACGACCATTCCATTTCAGATTGTGAGAGTGTACTTGGAAAAATGGCAGTACAACGGCAGACCGTATCGCCACGAATATGTTCAAAGAAAAGATAGCGATTCTTAGCTGATTTCTAGCTGAAAATGGTTCGCAGGGAAATGGGGCTGGTAGGATATTTTGGTCGAAAAGCTTATTCTGTCAACGAACATGACGAAATGCAGACCATTGCATGAGGCTACGCGCGTAATCGTACCTCATTCGTGCAAACATGAATACCGTTCTTGTCCGCAGCGCGACCGCACGCAACTCAGTTCCGCTGATTTTCACAATTTTTCACTCCCGTAGTGTACGGTGAACAATATGTTACAGTGACAACATCTGACAGATTGCGCACTACTTTTTTGTACTAATGACTGATAAAATCCGTAGAGACCATAAAAACAAGGCGAATCACAGCTTTTGCAGCGTAATAGTGACGAGAGAACTACAGGTTAGGAAAAAAATGACTACTCAATGAAGTTACCCAGATTTGAAAATCTTAGTCAGCGGTATGGCTGATATCGTCGCAGCCTGTCGGAGCGGTGTCAGTAGGCGTGGCATAAGCCCGTCTGAGTCTCTGTTTTCTACCAATAGTGGTTGGTTTAGGTAGGAAATAAGATAGTGGTTGGTAGAAAACGCTGTTTATGGACTCTTCCACGCCTCTGGGCACCTTACCGCTTGGATTGCGACGATATCAACTGTCTATCTATTTGGTGGTTTTATTGGCGAGTGAAGACCGCCTCCATTTGTTTTGCGGACAGTAGAGAGTGGAGTTATGATGGCCCATTCGCAATGAGCATAGTAGATTCTGCTGACACTCGCTGTCACACTCGGGGTTCCTTCACACGGAAAGCATTTCTGAAATTTTCATGGAAAACCCAAGAGGGAAGGAAACCAGTCGAGAGTAGGTACCCACCTGAAATATTCCTTGGCTATTTGTTCGTCATGAAGTATTGAATTGGCTGCTTTATTCCAGCTGGCTGGCGACAGATCATGCAAATTGTATTTTTCCTGAAAAAAAACAAATTGAGCTTTAAAAAGTTGAATTGTTCTAGACTGGTTTCAATCAGTACAGTGGAACGTCAAAGAGGGAAATTAGGCAAAGAAGGAACAAGAGACGAAAATCCCAGAGATTCAGTGTACGCCGGTCGTATGGGCGGGGACAGTCAACAACTGTGTTCACTCACTAACGCTCTTCTTCGCTCACTGTTATTAGGTTGTCTGGGAGTTCTCATCGTATTTGATAGTTTCACATTCAAACGATTCATTAACTTCCTACAATATTCATCGAGATTTCATTCGAGTATGCACGGTTCGAGATGCCATCCCACTTTGCCAATGTCTACTCCAGTCGATAAATCCATCACGGGAAAACTGGGTGGTCGAGAATCCACGAAATCTACGAAGGTTTTTTTTGCCTGGCCCTGATTGATGAAGTATTTTCCAGCAAGGAAAGTTCTGAAAATGTTTGAAAAGGTGATAGTGTTTCGTTCAATTTAATGGATAGTTGATTTGTAAAACGTGTCGCGGCGGGCGTTGTCATGCAAAGAATCTGCGACCTCTGTTTGACAAAGTGCCTCGGCTGCAGCGCGACGCCAATTTTCGGTACATTTCATCGATTTCTTCACAGTAGGACTCTGCTGTGATGGTTTGGCTCGAAGTTATAGTGGATCACACCAGCCGATGACCACCACACTGTGACCAAATTATGCGTTTTTCGTAGAGGCATTCGGCATTTGCAAATATGCCTTCGGTGGTTCATCGCAACACTGTTTGCCTTCCTTTCTATCAATACCATCCGATCCATTTTTTCATTACAGGAGACATTTCGGTCTGAAAACGGGTCGTTTCTGTTGCGCAAGAGCAGTGAAGAAGTGACCTCGAGACGTGCCAATTTCTGCCAGTCATTCAGATTGTGGGCACCCATTGTCGTAGTTTTCCTTCTCAATGCCGCTTATCAGGAAGCCATCCGCAACAGTGGATTTGCCAACGCCTAGCTTTTCTGCAATCTCTCGAACTGTTTGGGATGGGTCAGCCTCCACAAACGCCTTCAAATCCTCGTCAGGTATTGCTTTAGGTCGACCGCTACGAGGTTCATCAAGGCCCATCTCCAGAACGATAATTTGTCGAACCATTTCGCACGACGTGCTTTCCTCCAACACCAGTGGGTGCCCCCACAACCTGGGTCAATTTTATGTCGAGCATGTCTCGACTACGGCACTGACCCAATTTGTTAGTTGAAGAACCACATATCGTTCCAAAGTTGCTTTTTTGACGATGCTTGAAAAACTCTTTGAACAGAAGGGGGTCCCTCAAGCAATGACGTGAAACGCAATTATACCTCATGAATCTTACTGCAATTTTCTAATTTTTATAAAATTTCATGCCGATCCCGCCACCCCGCCGCGCCGACAACACACCGCCCGGCCCCCCCCCCCCCCCCATCCCCCCCATCACCGCGCCACCAAACGGCCCAGCGCAAAAGAATTCTCTTCAGGATGTACTACTGAGACGCAAGGGAGAATGAGTTTTTAATCAGCAATGAATGTACAAAAAATAGTAACACAAAACGCTGAGAACTTTCCGGACAACCTAACAGCGAAAGGGCGCCCCTATGAGGGAAGCCGTTTTCACTTATTCGCGAGCGCAATTTATAGGGGCCATACGACAGGTTTCGCGCTATCCTTCCAAGGCAGATACTCTCAGCGCACAGTCTTGTTACACTGCGATAGAGCATGTCAAGAGCGAAGAATCTGGCGCAGGTGCCACCATTTTCCACCCAATTGCTGAAGCGGCAGGAGTTGCCGTTCCTTTTGCACCGATGTTGTTGCTTACTAGCTTCAACAATCGGTGCAGAACGACGCGCCACACCCAGCCTCACCGACATGCCCCGTCAACTGCATTGAACCATATCGTATCCACACGGACCCTTGACCATCGCGCGCAAGCAGGAGGGCTGGGACCATCTTCGCCAATTTGCTTTCCACTCTAAGGACGATGTCAAGTGCTTGCAACAAGAAGAGGACGGTGCTCCTCGCAACTGGTCCCGACCGTCGAAGAAAAGGTCGAATAGGGTAGGAGCCAGCCCAGACCACCCATAAAGAATGACATTCAGGAATAGAAGAATGATTTCAAAGCCCGTAGCCAACGTACCTTGGCCGCATAGAGCATTGTCCATTTTGGTGGCGTTTTTTCGTTAGTCTTAGTTAGGTCAGCATAATAGTTTCGAATGTTCGCAACATTCTAAAACGTAAAAACTGCTAGTAAAACCTTATAAAGCACCAGACGGTTGGTCATCTGTGCGGAATCAGGGCTACCTTAGTACTTCCCTCATTGATGTGCACCTCATGTCCAAGTTGGCGAAGTTGATGAGCGCACCAGTGAGGAAGGCACAGTGTTAAGACAGACTCCGCCCACAAGACCATCGTGGACTGCTTCTCTAAAACAACTGCCGGCTTGGCCAGATACGGTGGCACCACAATCGGATTCGAAAGGAGGCAGTCAGTCGTTTCAAAAAATAATTGTGCGTGGCTTGAGCTGAAAGGTTTGATAAAAAGTTGGGCGGTGGACCAGGTACTCGAAATGAGGCTCAGCTTAGCTTGTACAGTGAACCTTGTGAAGACCTAAAGATTTCTGTTCACTCAAACAATTTCCTAGCTCCATGGGAGTTTACCGGTCTCACTTTCGGTGTGAAAAGAAACCAGAAAAAAAGAACTAGCATAAGCGCAAAATGCCATCTCCAAGCCGAACAGCGCTGGAAATTTTAATGAAGCTCAAACTCACAAACTTATCGGACAAATCGATGTCATATATGCGGTAAGCAGGATTCACGTTAGTATATGTCGTAACACTAGGGGCCACATAAAGTACCTGAAAAGCGCCTTACAATGCTTAAACTCTCTTGAAAACCCACATACTTACCCCTATAGGAGTAGACGAAACATTGTGCATATCGTCGTAGAATACGGTGAACTGATCAAAGTGAGACGTGACCGAAAAACTGTGCTCTGATGGTATCAGCGAACCTGCAAAGTTCTTCTATACGAACGGCAGAAAAAGCTAACAGGGAAAGATCCCAAGTCATCTTTGCATCGTTTATCGGACGGAGCTTAGGTGGAACTGAGCCGAGAACACATGCTGGATCCCCCTGCCCTCCTACGCGTCGCTGGCCTTCCCTGCTGGCAAATCGCATCATTCTGTGGTAGTTCGGCGGGTTGTTAAATCGCCTCACTCCGAAATAACACCACGCATGAAAGGAAGTTTTACCTTTGCACGACGCGGTAGTAGTTCCGTGCCCAACCCTCCAAGCACTCGTCATCACCAGGAGGAATATGCGATAGCACGTGAACAGACTCTCCTGTTAGTTCGGCCTGAAACCACTAGCGTTTGATTTTACGCAGTTCTACAGATTTTCCGCAGGTCAGGAATGCGGCGCGGCCGGCTTTGAGGGGGGGGGCATTCTGCACTTCCGCTGCTTATCACTGCGTATGTCATGTTTTAATGAAAGTGCAAAATACTCCTCCTCGCTCAAGCCGAAGTTGCTCCATCAACGCCAAACTAACCTTGAAAAGCTCAGAAACAAACCATGTCATCGTTCCGTCTGGATCACTCTGATTCAAGTAAAGGAAGCTGGAAGACAAAAATTATGGTCCTAAAAACTGGAGGTCTATAGAGATGCAGTGCTCACTTACAAGTTTGTGTTCTCACAAAATCCTGTGTTGAGAGAGATAAGACGCAGTCCATCGGTCACTTTGACGGAATACGAACCACGACTGGAAAAAAATCAGAAAAATTAGTAACGAAACGGTGAATACAGTAGTTCGCTGCGGTGTTTCAGGGGCTGTATTTGGCGCGGCTTCCGCTTTCAGAATTGGCAGAGCGCTACAGCCAGCCCTTCTGGAAGGACCAGCGTGCGCAGCATACAAGACTGTACTGTTCCCAGGTTCAGACCAAACTCTGCAGAACAACTTACTAAAGCATCGTCTTCAAAGCTTCATTATTAAGCCAAGGAGCGCCCATAATTGAGAATTCCTCATACAACCAAGTAGGCCAGAACCGTTTATCGACGAAATGCGGAGCAAAGCTGAAAAGGAAGTGACTTACACCATATTTTCTTTTTCTTCAATAACTTCTTTCGCTACCGGAACTGTGACGCTAAGAAGTACAGGATCAGTAAAACAGAATGTTCCATACTGAGCATAACTGGCTGTCTTGTGAATCGAACTCGGCGCCATCAAAGGCACTATACACGCCGATCACATGGGCGGAGTCAGTCCTACCACACTATCTAGCGTTTCACATGCACCCGCTAACCTTTGAGGCAAAAGAAGTGGCCTTCCAATGAGGAAAGCGGAATGTTATGAACGACTCCGCCCCTGCGATAGTGTGAACTGCATCAGCAGCCGTTCTAGTAGGATCGAAGCATGAGTAGTAGTCTATTTGAGATGGAATTTTCTGAATAAATCTTCACCACTCTGCTACGCCTTACCTATTCGTAGGCACTCCTTCATGGTTGCCGATTGCCCAGTAAGTTGGAGTCAGCGGAAAGAATTCACGGATCAGAGCGCTCACATTCCTGAGGGCCTTCTTATGTCCTTCGATCGAATACGTCCAAATAGCGTGATCTATGAAATCTCCCGACAGCATAATGTAGTCGATCTGAAAGTAAAGCTGTCTGGATCCGTGTGAAAATCATAGTTGGGGTCAATGTCAATGTTGTTATGGGCAGGCTCGAGACCTCGAGTCTCACGCAGATGTGATTCGGTTGCGAGCAGCAGGCGTCTCCACCATCAGAATCAGGGCGCGTTCTGCCGCAGGAGAAAAATTTCAAAAAATTGTCTTCCCTCAATTTCCTCCTCTGCTACAACCCTCGACCGCAGGGACGGAGGGGGTGATACAGCACCAGTGAAGCAAGAAGAACAGCGAAAGAAGCAGCGAATTTTCTCTCGAAGAGGAAGAATGAAGTGTCCCTTCTTCTCTTCCACTGGAATTCTCCCAACGATGTCAATAGCGCACTGAAACACAAAGATCAACAATCAAAAAAAGCCTTCTGAGACCACTTACGACCCTCCCTGCCTCCATAGACCAAATGTGCCCCCCTCTGCCGGGGTCCCCTATTAAGACGTGCTCTGATCGGATGCATTGCACCCTCTTATTCAGGAGCTACTGCTGGGTGTAAAGTGGGATTGTGCGCAGTATGAAGAAGCCCTGCAAAAAGAACTGTGTTGACATGAACAATGACGAAGGATATAAATCACTAGTAAAAAGTTATTACCCACTTGAAACCACAGCTCACGCTAATCATGAGGGCGGAGACAGTCAACGCAACCCCCCCCCTTCTTCCTCATTAGTGAAGCCTCTCCCCTTTCTATCACAAGCAGCAAATCAGAGAGAGTGGGAGGAGGCGGAGGGGAAGGGAGGGCGCTTACTGTTGTGTGTTCAGGGTACAGCATCGTGATGTGTGAGATGGTGGTGTCACTACGACCCCCTTCCCAAGGACCTACCCACCAAATTTCCCACATTTTCCAGTTTTTCACCCAAAAATTTCTTGTCAAGCGGGGGGGGGGAGGAGGGAAGAGAGAGAGGTGCATGGAACTCAAGGAACAGGAAAATCAGGAAAATTCAACAACCGGGAAAGTTTTTTCCCTGACGCGAGCAAATGTTTTTCAAAGCCACATACGACCCCATCCCCTTCCACAGCGGTCAAATACGACCCGCTCCCAGTATTTCACCCAACAATGCTGTACTCTGTCGCAGCTTTTCGCTCGCTCCTCGAACTTAGCGATGACACTTTTGTGCTGTTTAGTGCTACCCTTGGGAGACCCTACGACCCCCCCCCCTCACCAGAGGCCAAATACGACCCCCCACGATGGGTTTCGCACAGATGCTATACCCTGTATGTGTTTCCGACCAACTAGCGTAAACAGTACTCTGACGTCGTAGCAAACATGGAAATATTGGCATTACCTCAGCTGTCGCATTGATATGTTCTAGCATATTCCTGAACATCCGATAAGGGATATCGCATGTGGCAACGGTTCCCCAGTATCCTGCTGGCTTTTTTGGCTTCCCTATAATAAAGAATGGCTGAACTCCATACCACGAATGTTTGGATATCCAACCTGTTGTGTTTCGACAGCATAAGAACAGATCACATTTGGCTTCTGATCCTGGCTTATAATCGAAGTCCACGTGGACGTCTGACAACTGAAGGACTCGAAGGTATCGATGGTCAGGTCCTCTGGGATGGGCAACTGGAAGAAGGAGGTGCTTAAATAAAATAAAAAAAAACGGCGCAGCTTGGCTCGATGAGGGCATTTTACTGGTTCTCATCGATCATGCCGATGCCTTCAGAGGGAACCTGTAGGCTCCTATAAAGATATGTAGTGGCAAGCAGGGTACACCATCGTAGTGTGAAACACATGGGAGGGGGTCGTAGTTGTCTGCTGGGGCGGAGGTTCAGAGGGTTCGCATTTGCTCATCGTTGGGAGAGGGGGGGGGTCGTATGTGCTATTGAAAGAAATTTGCCGCGTTGGGGAAAAGTGTATCCCAGTTGTTGACTTTACGGGGTTATTCCTGTTTCACTTGTGCCATTTACCCTGTTCCACCCCGCTCGACACAAAATTTTTGGTCAAAATTCAAAAGTAGCGAATGTCCGGGAAATTTGGGAAAAGCTGGTAGGAAGCTGAGAACTTATAGGAAAGTGGTAGGTAGGCGTTGGAGAAGGGGGGGGGGGATCGACCACCATCTGGATGCTGTACCCTGATGGCGAAAGCCCGGTCTCACTTTACAGGAGTCTGCAGGTCTCATCAAGGTAAGACGTGTGAGTTGACAGGAACTAGTGAAAGAAATTAGCAGAAGTGCAAAATGCCTCTCCCGAGCGGGGCAGCTCCAGCAAACTCCTCATGAAACATACACTGCGTTCTTTTCTTGTCGATTATCGCCTTCAATTCTTTGGGGGGTTTCGGAGGAAGCACGATTGCCCAACCGGATCCATTCTGGTCACTTGGATCAGAACATTCGTCCAGCAAGAGGCCACAAATAGCAGATGGATTTTTCTCGGCCAGTTGTCGAAACACATAGAAGAACTCTTCCTGGAAGTAGAAAAATCCGGGATAGAAAAAGGCTTATTTTACTGTTTCGTTCTCATATGGAAACTTCTACAACCTCTTCTGTTATACTAAACTAGGCTGTTATCTAGCAGCCCTGATGAGCATTCCTCATCCCTGCGAACGAGAGGGCGTGTAAGGGGACGTGGCCTGAAGACCAGCCAGGGCAGCCTTTTCCATTAATAGGATCACAAGGACATCAGCTGGTGGAAAATGTTGACCTAGCTACGGTCCAATCGGTGCACTTCCTTCCTTAGGGTCTCCCAGTGGGGGAGGGGTCGTATTTGGTTGGGAAGGCCATCATATTTGCCTTTCTGCACCTTTGTGAAAATGCTATAAGTTGTAGAACTTACTCCTCTCGTCTGTCTTAGAATTCAAGAAGATTGAGGAATTCGGGAGGGGGGGGGGTGAAGGTCTCACCGGGGAAAGGGAATTTCGGAGGGGATCCTATTTCGCAAAGAGTTTTCCTAAGGGCAAGACGTGCACTGGCGTCTAATACATGCCCCTCACATGCCATCCCGCTGACAGGGATATGACCGTAGCTTGTGGAATGAATAAATGAAAGAAAAATAAGCTGATTTCACCTTGAACTGTGTTGTAATGCCCTGACAAACAACCGAGCTCTGTTTTGCGACCAACTCACAGATCGACGAGGCAAGCTCTGGTACCACATCATTGTCTTCGTCCCATTCCAGGACGAGCCTGGAAGTGGACACACTTACTTTTAGGTGCAAAGCAGCTAGGCTGCACGGCTGCACGCGCCTTGTATAGTCATGGCTTCTGAAAGGCATTCGTACTTTGCGGGGAAGTATAGGTATCGATCTGGCGTCTGCCAGCGTCTGCCAGCGACCAACAGCGTCCGGGAGTGGAGAGTATGGGGCGATAGGAGGGTAACAGACGACTGTCGCGGATGCTGGCAGAAGCTGGCAGAAGCTAGATCGATGCCTACACTCCCCTCCCTCAAGGCGCTGGGCGAAGCTTGTAGGTGCTCGCTGGCAGAGGCTGGCAGACGGCAGATGGATAACTATACTTTCCAATTCGCTGACGCTTTCGGAGCTCGAAACGCTGGTGGACGCTACCGCAAAGTATGAACGCAGCCTAGACAATAGGGCGTCCGACAGCGGCTGCTCGAAGCGAGCCAAATCAGACTTCCCACCAGTGATCTCTGATGGTATCATTGGTCGCGCCGCTTCACACGCACGCACGGATCCGGTACAGCACCGTGATTGTCATTACGACCTTTCACCCCCCCCCCCCGAGGAAAGGCCTCGGGACGACCACCTTTCCCCGACGCCTAACACTTTCCTACAGGTTCCCAGCTTCCTACCATTTCCCGAAACTTCCCATATTTTCCAGTTTTTCACCCAAGAGTTTTCCGTCAAGCGGAGGGGAGGGGGGATTTTCTCCCAACGCGGCGAATTTCTCTCAAAAGTCAAAAGTTCAAACTACCTTCCCCCATTCCAATATCGACCAAATACGACCCCCTCCCTCCCCTAGTGGCCAACTAACATAACTGCACCTTCCATTCAGTAGTAGGGCAACATTATATTTATGTCAAGTGTTCAGCATCGTCTTCAAAGGCACCGTACAATTCACTTCTCTCCACTCCTTTTTTGGAAACTGGCTACTTGTTGGTACGAGAAGTCTAGGAAATTAGTCTCCGGTGACGGCTCAGCTCAATACAAGTACACAGCTAGGCGCTGTTCGCTTCATTGCGCACAAACCCTGCATAGGCCTTGTAGGAATTTTTCCCCGTGGGAGTTCAAGCCCTAGAACATCTCGAATGTTGAGTAGAGCGCGCAGCACCGGGGCCTTTACGCGCACCCAACCGCTTGCTCCAAACAACTTTCACATATGTTCGCAATAAGAGGTAAGGCAACAGCAGGAATACACCGCTGAAATCGTATCATTCAGTAGAGGCGGTTCGAAGAGGGTTTGAGTGAGTGAATGAAGAATCCTCTAGCCGATCCCATTGGTAGAGTAAGAGAGCCGGAGGCGAGTTTGCTCTTCCCATTATGATGGAGTCCCCCCCCCCCCGGCTGATTGCGAGGTGATCAGCAACATTCCTGTGAATGGAGAATCCCATCAAACCATCAATGGGTGGGATGCTATAAGGCAGACAGTATCCTCCACTTTATCGACAG